CAAGTGCAGCAGCTAATTTTGCAGCATAAAAAGTGATGCCTTTTTGCATTTCCGTGGGTGGAATTGTTAGCAGAAGGTAACTCTCCACATCATTTGACAACAAATTTATTTGATGCAAAGTTTTGACCTAATGAATGTAAATGTCTCCTTATGAAACGAGTGAAGAATGGACCACAAGAATAAATTGTCTTGCAAGGTTTCCAGTTGGGCTAAAAATAGCCTAAAATCATCTTTCTCATGAAATAGTGACAAATTCTTTCTAAACTTACTCAAAAATGAAACTCGAAGTATACAGAACTGAAAAAGTTGCCCCAAATTTTTTTCAAATTTCAGTCCATCATCAATCTCAAGTCATAGTGAGGTGGTCAGGGAAGTGCCCAGCTATTCTACCAGATTCAACATTCCATGGAAGTGTCTTTTATATTTCATATTCCTGTGTTAAAGAGCAGTTATGACTACTACTCTTTATGTAGTCCAGTTCAGTTTTTGGTTTTTCTGATAGTGAGTTCAAGAATTTATTTGAGCTTGATGGTATCTGAATCTGAGCTGCTTTATTGCTGTTTTTCTTAGAACATTTTCTGACAGGATTTGATTAGAGCAGAAGTCTTCTGCGCTGGATAAACTTGTTCAATTTTACAAATGTAGCTCTACAGCTAAAGCCACAAGGAATAAACATCAAGATAACATTGATCTGTCCCCAGACGACAAGAACAAGGTCTGAAAATCCTTTAATGTTCAAATGTCTAAGAATAGTGACCTGGGTCAAATTTCTGGAAAAAAACAAAGAAAAGTAGATGATAGACATGAGAAATATATGGAGATTAATGCTACAATCTCAGATATTTCTCAAAAGTGGATTATAAATATGCCATCTTCTCCCCAGAACCTGAACTAATTTTAGGAAAACACAGTGAAAGTCAGCAAAGTCAATGGCCTTAAAGCTGCCATACTAAAATAGCATGGAAGGATATAATTATAGTAAAGGTCATGGGATAAAATATCTATTCCAATTAGAATACACTATTTTCAAGAACAAAATGGAACCCTAGAACAGATATTAATATTCCTCAATCACTTCCTGCACAGGTTTGAAGTTTTAAGTTGATAGGCTGACATTGGTGAAAATTATACTGTTTGTGTATTGTATTGTCTTGTATACGCTTTTATACCATTTTAAATACTGGAAGGATATCTAATTTAACAAAAAAACCATGGATGAAGGATATTTTTTATGTTTAATAAAAGAATTGCTTAAAATTAAAGAAATCTTGCATTGCTGATGGTGTGCAACCAGGGGCTCCCTGTATGCATATCTCAACATGCTCTGCAGGCTCCCGCAGTCTGTCTGAATATGGCAGCAGTGTACAGGGCAGCCCGTACTGGCTGATTCAGACTACTCAGGGTCAGCCTGTTTCTCCCTTCTGCACAATGTGGGGATTGTGAAGGGATATGTTATGCTCCCTGCTGGGCTGGAGCAGTAGTGTCCAGCCCAAGTGACACACCGTCTCCTGGGTGGGAGAGGAACAAAGTGTCCTGGGGTGCAGGAGAAATGTACTGTGGCTTCACTCAGAAGAGAACATTTCCGGACATTTGCTCTCCTAGAAGAAATTCTTTTGGGAGTAATTTAACCTTGGTTGTTCCTGGGGTATTTTTCTCCTGTAGTAGTTATTTTTGCTTTGAGAGAGAAATCCTAAAAATCTGTAAATTCATGGTTTCTCCTGGAAGAGTACTGACTCTCCCATAAGAAACTGAAGGCGTTTAAACACATACTTTTTGGTCCCTTGACACGCTGAAGATCTGCCACTTCAGAGCAGGCTTGATTAATTGAATCTGGTCTGCACACGAGCAGACGTGCACTGCGCTGCATCGCATGCAGTTGTATAAGCGGTGAAATGCACGTCAGAGTACAGAAAATGGCAACAGTGCACTTTGAAATAAAGCACCTTCTACGTGTTTTAGTTCAAAGGTGTGCCACTGCCATTTTCTCAGTGCTGACACATTTCACCATTTATACAACTGCAAGCATCGCAGCACCAGGTGCTTTTCAAAGCACCTGGTGCTGCGGTGCAGGCATGTGTACAAATGCCTTGAATGTCTGTATGTGGCCAAAGGCTAAGAGCAGAAGTTACACAGAAACTGGTTTAAGTAATCAGAAACTGGTTCAAACCTGTAACAAAACAAAAGTTCAGTGCAGAAAAGCTAGTTTCAAAATGACTGAAACTGGTTTAAGATAATCCTCATTCAATGCAGTATCAGACTTAACTGATTTGGGTCAAACTGGTTTATTCAAGGTCTGTCCTTTCCTGGTTCAAGTCTGAACCCCTTCCTGGTTCAAGTTAGATCACAGTCCCCCAGCATGCTTTGGGCTGGGCTGGGCTGTCTGCTCCAGTAGAGAAGGGCTGGGAGGGAGGCAGGGACTGCCCTCACCAGGCAAGCCCCGGCTGGGGGCTGGGGGCTGGGGCCAGGGAGGGGTGTTAAACCCCCTTTCCCCTGAGTATAGAACTGCCCTGTCCTGATAAACTTGGCTGTGACTGTGGACTATAAATCCCAGAGGCACTTGAAAGCAGGACAAGGAAGTGATGAGCAACCCTGCCGAGTCCTGCTGCCATGATTCTGGACTGTAAATCCCAGAGACCTCAGAGGTAGCTAGAGGAGGAAATGAACACACAGCCCATGTTGGCTATGTGCTAGAGAGCCATGGTTTAGTGTCCCCTGGCTTCCAGACTGAGCCACTGCATACATGTGGCTGCGTTTCCTGAATCAAAAGTAAATGTGTGTTCACTTGTTAGTTTAATCTCTCTATTTTAGACTAACCAGCAAAGATTGAATTGATTCAGCCTCAGTCTTTTTGATTGTCTGTACTTAGGTAAGATTCCCCTGTTGTGAGCAAAACTTTAAACACGATTACTGAGCAGAAATTGGGTACCATAGCAGTTGCCAGTTGTGGTTTTTGGTCAACTACAACGCTGTGCATCCTTGGTGAAGTTAAGTTGCAATGGAGTAGAAGTAGACTTAGACACTCGAGGACAATTTTAGCTGCGAAGAGTGAAAATATAGCCATATAAAGGCATGTAGATACAATTTAAATCATTATGCAAAGTGAAGTAAAACACTGTTGGGTGACTTGGATGCCTTAGATGGGTAAGTGACATACATCTTGGTTTGTAGTTTATTCTTCAGATTGTTGGCTTGCTTCTCTTTCTCAGGCTGTTGTTACTCCACTGACTTCATTGACATTTTCCCTGCCTTATACAGGGAATGAGAAGAGCATGAGTCATGGTATTGATCAGGATGTCATGGACTTTCCTGAGGTGAAAGTATTACTTCTCTACATGGCTTCCACAGATCTGCTGCTGTAGCATTTACTTTCCTCCAAAAAACACAAAACAGAACTCTCTCTCTCTCTCTCTCTCTCTCTCTCTCTCAGCTGGTTCAAACTGACTTTTTCCTTAAAACAGAGTTCAAAGGTTATGTGCATGAAATTGCAATGTTTCTCTGTAACTTTTCAGTTATTTTTTGTAATTATGTTTATAATCATTTGAGTCATGGCATTCTCAAAAGAATTGGCTGTGATTTTACTTTTCTTTATCAGTGACTATCACTCAAACTAAAAGTGGTCTTATGTTCACATTCTTATTATTTGGTCTTGTTTTTGTGGAAGAGTTTTGGCACAGGAAAAGAAGTAGTCTATAAATCTGGGATGTGTAATAAAGTACTTGTATGTCAGATGTTATTATATTTTAGGGCAGATGTGTACTCATGAGATAAGAAAATGGGCTAGTATTGCTGTGAAGTGCATAGTACGTGCAAGAAAGAATCTATTTATGATTTTAAAAATGATGTATAGAAAGTACAATGCATTTTTATCAACTACAAATATTAAAATGAATATAATACATTTAAAAACTAAAACTATAAATCTGTGTGTTGTTTTTTTTTTTCCCTAAAGGGTTCTATTTGAGGAAAGAAGTGAATATTTTTAGATCATTTAATCCTTTTGGAGGAAGGCAGAGATAATGACAGTCATTGCCTAGATCAGGGATAGGCAACATTTTTTGGCTGGAGTGCTGAAAAAAATACAATGTCTACTTTGAAGATGCCAGAGTGCCGACATGTTGGAGCCCGGAGCAGCTGTTTGCAGCCTCCCAGCTGCAGCCAGCCCAAGGAGCCTGGTCTGCTTGCAGCAGGGCTTGCAGCCTCCCAGCATCCTGCTGGGAGCAGCCTGTGCTCTGTGGCTGGGAGCCGCCGCCTCGAGGCTCCATGGTTGGTGGCAGCTACCCAGAATTGGGGCTGGTGGTGGTGTGCTGAGCAAAATGGCCTTGTGTGCCATGCTCGGCACACATGCCGGAGGCTGCTGACTCCTGGCCTAGATAGTGAGTCCATGGAGGCCAACCAGAATTACTCTGTTCTCTGATTGTAAAATACAGTTCAGATTAGCACCACTAGTGAAGTTTATTACCTTAAAAGAAGCATGAGAAGGTAGGAGACCCATACCCATCACCATATTTAAATGTGTAGAAGGAGATGGTCTGCCTATAATGGTTGGCTCATGCTGCTCTCCCCAAACTTTGGTGGAGTTACTGGTTCAGTCTTCAATTCTTTAGCTCTCATGGATGAAGTCTGGTTGAATCAGCAGGGGTTTCCACAGAAGCATAAGACTTCCCACTTTCCTCCATCAGGCTGAAGTATCTTTAAACCCCAGTCTGTCCCTGTGTCTGTTCAGGCTTTGATTTTATAATGGAAAATAATTATTAGCCCAAATTTAAATGGTGACAGTCCATTGTATACATTCCATATGTCTTCTTTGGTGCTTTGCTGAAAACACCATGCACTGTAACAAGTTTTGTAACATAATTTTAATGTAGTAAAATCTAGATCATAATTGTGTATATACTTTCTTATTCTACTATCTATTATTTATTTTCACAGCCTCTAATATATGCACAAACACACTCTTAACTACTAAGCTTTGGCTTATGTGCACCCAATGTTTGTTTCAGATATCAACATGGCAGGAGAACCAAAACCCTACAGACCAAAACCTGGAAACAAGCGACCACTTTCAGCTCTCTACAGGTAGGCTGGAATTTATTACAATAGCTGAGAACAGCTTCATTTTTATTGAAAACAAATTACAGTAGCCTTAAGGTCCTATGTTCTTTGCAAGAATATGTTCAAAGAGATGGGAATATATAGCCTAGAAGAGTTAAGTGCAATAAGTATTTTCCCTGGAGTAACTGTCCCCATGTTACACAAGAGGGTTTTTGACCAGAGATGAGAGAGATTTGTGGGTGCCAAAAGTTTTAGGGAAGAAGAGAAGAAGTTGTGCTGTTTGCTTTTATATTTGCAAGTAATTTGGAGTGATTCACTCCAAAACTACAGTAATGCCTTTGATTTTGATAGTTAATGCTGTTTATCTGATAGCTTTATTGAGCATTTAATTGACACAATGTAAGAAGCAGGCAGAGAAAGCAAAATTCTTGAATTACACACTTGGAAAAATGTATTCAGATAATTGTCCTTTTTCAGTGTGGCATAAGAAACAACTGCAGGACTTTTTCCCCCTGGTGTATTCAAATGCCTCTCACATTATTGATAATTAATGCATAGACATAGAAATAAACAAAACAATGACTGAAATCTTAGCCCTCCTGATACCAAGGAAAAAAACTAACAATATCATCTAATAATTTTTAATAATATTCACATCATATACCCTTTATTTGCCTGCTGGAAGAGGGACAAATCTGGAAAAATATTTTGCCTTTAAACTTTTAAGAGAATATTATATACTGAAATCGTAGTGAAACATTGCAAAGCTATTTTTAAAAGCATTTAACACTGTCATTGCTCATAAAGGCAAGGTCTCAGTTTCTGCAGTCTGGAATTTGAGCTGTTGTTCTAGATTACATTCTTCTTATACGTTTAAATCTGATCCTTAAAGTTATCTACTTATAAAATATTGATTTGATAGCATCTTTTTTGGTGCAGATGAAAGTCTTTAAATAACTTGGGATATTATTTAGACGACTAATGATATCATAAAATTATATACTTAAAATTTAAAAAAAACCATGGATACAGACTTACAAAACAAACTAGTGATTCTGGATACACAGTATGAAGACAGTTTGAGGGGATTACTGCTAGAATATGCTGCATAACTTCCTCTGAATACCAAGCCAATTTGGCATGTTTTAGATTGTATCTCCAAAAATTACCAAAATGAATAGCCATTTTAAAAAGTTTAGATGGTGTTTTAACTTCAAATAGTTATATATTTCAATATATTAATATAGTATGAATTATTGTGTGGGTTGGCTTTCATGGTGTTCTGACAATAAACAATATGATTTAGTTAAGGCCCACCCAAAATGCACACTTAGGTGAGATTTACATCCAAGATTCCAAAACTGCAATCATCAAAACCCCTGCTGACCTGCCATCTTAACCTGGAGTTGCTTAAAATTCTTATTAAAAAATTAGGAGATTATGGTATTGATGCCTACACAGTCAGATGGGTTGCCAATTGGCTGGAGGGCCGCACCCAGAGAGTGGTGGTGGACGGGTCATTTTCGACCTGGATGGATGTTGGCAGTGGGATCCCCCAGGGCTCAGTCCTCGGACCCACACTGTTCAACATTTTCATCAGCAACTTGGACGAGGGGGTGAAAAGCACCTTGTTCAAATTCGCAGATGACACTAAGATGTGAGGAGAAGTGGAAGCACTTCTAGAAGGGAGAGAGAGGCTACAATTCAATTTCGACAGGTTGCAGGGGTGAGCAGATGAGAATAAGATGAGATTCAATACTGACAAGTACAGGGTACTGCACCTAGGGAGAAAGAACCAGCAGCATACCTACAGCCTGGGGGACTCCCCTCTCATCAGCACAGAGGCAGAAAAGGATCTTGGAGTCGTTATAGACCCCAAGATAAACATGGGCTGCCAATGTGGGGAGGCAGTCAGGAAGGCTAATTGCACCTGTGGGGTGAGGTGGGCACACTTGAAGGGAGAGAGAGGTAGCAACTAGATTTAGACAGACTACAGAAGTGGGCAGATGAGAATAGGATGGGGTTCAACGTAGATAAATGCAGGGTTCTGCACCTTGAGAGAAGGAATCCACAGCATACATACAGGCTGGGGAGTTCCCCTCTTGAAAGCACAGAGGTGGAACGGGATCTTGCAGTTATTATTGACTCCAAGATGAACCTGAGCTGCCAATGCCAGACCGCAGCCAGCAAGGCCAGCCATACCTTGTCATGCATCCAAAGGTGCATCTCAAGCTGGTCCAGAGAGGTGATACTCCCCCTCTATGTGACATTAGTCAGGCTGCAATTGGAGTACTGTGTCCAGTACTGGGCACCGCACTTTAAAAAGGATGTGTCCAGCCTGGAGAGAGTTCAGAGGAGGACCACCCATTTGGTGAGAGAGCAGCAGGACAGGCCTTATGAGGAGAGACTGAGGGACCAGAACTTGTTCAGCCTTGGCAAGAGGAGGCTGAGAAGGGACCTGGTGGCTGCCTACAAACTCAGCAGGGGAGATCATCAGCAAATTGAAAGAGCCCTATCCTCCCCAGCACCACCTGGGGTGACAAGGAACAATGGTAATAAGCTGATGGAAGAATAGGTTTAGGTTAGAGATCAGGAGGCAATATTTTACAGTTAGGGTGCCCAGAATCTAGAACCAACTTCCTAGGGAAGTGGTCCTCGCCCCTACCTTGGGTAAATTAAAAAAGAGGTTAGATGATCACCTGTCTGGGGTCTTGTGAACCCAGCATTCATTCCTGCCTGTGGCAGGGGGTCAGGCTATATGATCTGTTCACATCCCTCCTGACCCTAGCTACTATGAAACCATGAAACCTTGTCATGCATCCACAGATGCATCACATCAGCAGGTCCACAGGTGCATCCACATCAGCAGGTCCAAGGTGGTGATCCTCCCCCTCTATGCAACACTGGTCAGGCTGCAGTTGGAGTACTGCATCCAGTTCTGGGCACCGCACTTCAAGAGGGATGTGGACAACATTGAGAGGGTCCAGAGGAGGGCCACCCTCATGATCAGGGGTCAGCAGGGCAGGCCCTACAAGGAGAGGCTGAGGGACCTGAACCTGTTCAGCCTCCACAAGAGAAGGTTGAGAGGGGATCTGGTGGCCATCTATAAACTGGCCAAGGGAGACCAGCAGGCTATGGGAGAGTCCCTGTTCCCCTGAGCTTTACTGGGAGTAACAAGGAATAACAGCCATAAGTTGACTGAAAGTAGATTCAGGCTAGATATCAGGAGGCACTACTTCACAGTCAGGGCGGCTAGGATCTGGAACCAACTTCCAAGGGAAGTGGTGCTCGCTTCTACCCTGGAGGTCTTCAAAAGGAGGCTAGATAGACACCTTGCTGGGGTCATTTGACCCCAGTATTCTTTCCTGCCCATGGCAGGGGGTCGAACTTGATGATCTGCTCAAGTCCCTTCCGACCCTACCAACTATGAAACTATGAAAATGCCATGTTAGATTTTGATGGTAAAGCTCCTCAGGCAACTGGAGTTGCTCAACAGAACAATCTCAGTTTGATAGGCAGTGACCTGTTGGTTTCCTGTCTCCTGCCTAAGTCTAATCAAGATCCAAAGATTGGATTTTTCTCTGTCTATATGGTCTAAAGAGCTAGTCACGCTCCATACTTAAATGACAGCAGAAACTATCCTTTCTTTAAAACAACTACAGTTACTAATGTCTCCTTTTATGTCCAGAGGTTATAACACTCTCCCAGGATGCAGGAGAGCCAGATCCAGTTCTCTCCTCTGCCTGAGGGATTTCAAACCCCTATCTTCCAAGCTTCAATACAGCAGCCCAGTTCTCCCCTAGGCATCAAGATTGATGCTCTTGCTTCCACACTCAGGTTCAAAGTATATACAAGTGAAACATCTTTAACAGAAGTGGAGAGTGCTTCCACTTCAGCATGCCCTATAGCCTTTTGTCTAGAACACCCTCATTGGGTTTGGGCAAAGTAGGTCTTAATTCCCTCAAGAAGAAAAGAGACTTGAACATAGGCTGCTCACATCCTGGTTGAATGCTCTGTTCTCTGAACCATTGTAGCAAAGATTAGCGATTCTACCTCCGCTCAATCTGGCTGTGTTTTTAAACAAAGGATTGCCTCCCTATACCACTTCTGCTTAAAGTGGCTTAGCCTTCAGGAGAGGGATAAGGGATAAGAATCCCATGTAGAGGGAGGTACTTACTAGTGCCACCAAATAAGGCTATTTGAGACAAGTTTAAGTCATATCTTCATATCCACTGCATTTCCCCTGAGTGAATATAGGTGGTTCCCCATTCAGTGTACTTTAGCATGCTGAGCTTGGACTTATCTCTGGATCCCATTTTCTGGTACCTAATTGTCCCCATACATTGCAAAGGGAGTCTCAATACCCAGATCAGAACTATGGATTCTGCTACAGAGATTAGGTACCTAAAATTGAGGTCTGGAGATATGACACATGAAGACTGGTATAATTAACATCTGCTTTGTACACTATATAAGTTACAGCACAATCTCAAACATGCAGACTACCAGTCACTTCAAGGTATGTGCTGCAGTAGTGCAGTAGGTGCTGTGAAAGTGACTTACCACTAGGTGGCATGGAGATCTTAATAGCCTTTTGTATTGAACACATGGCTAACTTGCAGTCAGTGCAGCCACACAACACCTATACAACACCTACACTGGTGTAAATTAAACTGGTATATCTCTACATCAGATTCTAGTAAGGCACCTCAGTGTAGAGGTTGTTGCATGTGTGCTACATTTTTTTACAAGTGTAAAAACAATATACACAGGTGGAAATGTATAACATGTCCAGGCCTGGACACTGCAATGCTGAACAGTGTGCTACCTAAATCCATTTGTGGACCTGAACTTAAGTGCTAAGTATCATAAATATGAATTCTTCTTTAGTTCAAGTGGTGGAGACCTGTATTTTTGGGAAACAAGGTCCTAAAGTTAATCATGGCTGACATCTGCAATTTCTGAAATGATGGTTTATAGAGATGACTGTACTTCTGAGCAACCATGGAGTTGTTACATTTATG